CTTCCAAAGAAGGTGTTGTGCAAGGCTGTACTGACTGCTGCCTGCGTTGCCTTGCGACCCAATCAAACCATGATATTAAAATTAAAAATCGTTCCGTGTTGCAGCCCTAACGATGCTAACATGAGCATAGCTAAACGATGAAACTGATTCCTGACATTTCTTTATTAAGAAGAAACAGACTCTAGTGTTTAGACTCAAACGGTGCTATGGTGTGATTGAGGACATTATTGTTTAACATTTTCAATCATATATTTTAGCCCACCATTTTCAATACATTATTACTGAAGGGGTCGTTCTCATTTAGTAACTTTTGCAATGAGGTTAAATGAAAGTGTACAATATTAAGTTACATATAGTTCTCATTTATTACTTATTATTTTTTGTAGTCAATATTGTCCAAGCAAACCTAATCCAATGGTAATTAACATGTATTTCCAAGTGTACAATATTAAATTATAGTATAGTATGAAGATTATGTAAGAAAAAGAATTATCCCTGCGTATAATCCATCCATTTCATTCTATTTTTTAGAAGTTAGAAATGGATCAAGTTCAACTTCTTTGCACCCTACACACCTTGCAAGTTTTTTAGGTCTAATTATTCAATTAAATCTTATGTTTCATGCTAATGTGAACAATACTAGCTATCTAGTTAGTTTTCCGATTGAAATCACATCATACATGATACTTTTTAGAGTGTACTATCCCTATTGGTATTAGCGGGCTAGTTATATATAAAGTTTTTTTTAGTGAAACAAAAAATAAAGTTACGGAAAAGTGAACAAAATCATATTGTTGTAAAATTATAAAGAAGTCCTATTCATCGTGAATGTTTTAGTCTAACAATTTGTGGAGAATAAATTCAAATAGGTTTCATATGCATGTATAAAACTTCAACTTGGAAGAAAGTAATTTAAAATTATAAATGTTTAGGTAAGAGATTATCAACTATGTAGATATATATATAAACCCAACACGTATTTTATTAGTACATATACCTTATTTATTGACGCGCAATTTATTGTATACATATTAATACATAAACAAAGACTTGAGAGGGTCGACATTGACGCGCAATTTATTGTATACATATTAATATTTTACCTTATTTTTTGGTTGCCCTATAAGAAGAAGGCGATGGCCTTCCATTATGGGTAAGAAGAATGTAGAGAGAGTGGACCTAGTTTTTCTGATTTATTCCATCGGGGAATAATTTATCAGCCAACCCAACTCAACTTCACTACCAAACGATCATTCCAACTGAATAAACCTATATTTTAGACTAATTCAAGTTAATTACTATTCTATCTAAGATTATGAGCTTTGTGAATGGTTGAGAATGGAGCTAAAAAATCAAATTTAAAAGGCCAACGTTAATATAATTCAACGGTAATTTACATGTATTCATTTTTTTTTTWAAAAAATGGAGGTTTGATCCACTACATCTCCAGCAAATTATAGTACTAAAATAAACAATATTAAAAAAGGTATCTATTGGGCCTAAAATAGAAAGCCCATGTCTTTCTTGTTAGGAGTGATTGTAGAATAATTGCCAAAATAAATAGGAAAATTTAGGTGTGAAGCTAAATTTAGATACACATTTTAAAAAATGTTTATTTATTTTTTATTTTGTAAAAATGACTAAAATATATTTTAGGAATTTTACAAAATATAGTGTTTTACTCGCAATGTCATTTCCATGTTTTTTGGAATTTTCTTATATTTAACCACCGTAACAAACGTTGTTTTGAATTAAAAATTGTGTTTCCTACCTTCAAGTAATTTTAAGTTAATTATTTTAATTCTTTTGTTTTGAATTTTAGTTGTTTTAAACRTATTGTCATTTTTCTACAGTCTTCCATCTCACAACCATTCTACTTTGTATCTTCTTCTTCTAAGCTCCCTCTCCTCTTTGCAACAATGGATTGTGTAGTAATCACAATTCTATATGGGGTACGTGAAACGAAAAAAAATGTGTACAACAATTTCAACATCTCTCAGATGTTAGTCCGGAAGAACTCGACGTTGTCCCACATTAGGAAGAATATTCATTTAACAAACGGGGAAAAAGTTGCATTTATATCGTTGGTCAAGAATGATAGTCACAAGTCTCTTATTATTAGACTAGTTGAAGATAGGAATGTCACATGTTTTTTAACTGTATTGTCGAATGAGTTGGGGACAAAGTAGTGTATTGTTATTGCTACTATRGATACCTATATTGACTCTATAGATGGGAGTGAGACACCATGTCGGACGAATGTAAATATCAACATTTACCATAAAGCTATGAGAGTTCGACACAAGTGTAGTCTACACTAGATAGCATTGTTGTAGATACTCCCATTGACCGAATAAATGGAAGTGGGACATCAGTACACACATCCCACCATAAACGCAAGGAAATCGTAGTAATGGATCCGAGTCAAATTCATGGTTTCCTGTCCAAGTTTGTACTGAAAAAAGATTGTATTTTTCTAAGCCATGCAGTTACTCTATAGCCTTAAAAGGTAGTATGTTGTTCGGATAAAGGGCAACGGAGGAAGGGTGGCAGCGACGGTATGTTGTTCGGACGATGAAGGTGATTGTGAAGATGAATATACTGGTCACCATAACTGGTGTGGGGAGGTGTGCGTGAAGTAAAGAAGATGAGAGAAGGTAGCTCTTAAAACCCTAACTTTTTTAATTAAGTAAAGGTAAGAGTTAAATTTTTTTGTTTACCTAGTATTTACCCTCTTATTTAGAAATTTTAGATTTTAGATTGATAAATTTCAAACTCTACCTCAACACATTTTTAACAATTTTTTCTTAAATCTATTTTTAAATTTTGATTATCAATTTTAAACAGTTTTAAGTTAATTATTGTAATTTTATTCATTTTTTTATTAGATACATTTGGATTTTAAGGCYSGTTATTTTTGCTATTAGTTAAAAATTCTAAATCCTTAAAATATACGGTATATTTGCCTACAAAATATTTTAGAATTAAAAAAATCAATTAATCATTATTGCAATATTTCATAAATTTGATCATTGTTAAAAACGCATTATTAATTTTGACCATTCCTACCGTTGCCTAAAATTGGAATTTGTGCACTTGATAGGGATGCAAATGATAACTCTTGGTTTCAATAAAATAATTAAATACGTGTTGAAAATATGCACATATTTACTCGAGATGATAAATGTTGCTTTAATTCGATAGCTGGCAATGTAACGGGTGCATATAGGTGGCAATGCGTTAGGGGGCAAATTTCAACGTTAATTGACATATATCTCATAATTGACGTTAAAATCCACGTACCACCCAACTTCCATAAGTGGAAGCGGCCAYCGTATATTCAAATATGTTATTTGATATAAGGAGTATTATTGTTTAACCATTTAAAAGTATTTTGTCATAGTTAAAAGTACTCCCAAACATACTCCAACGACAAAATTCATTGGTAAATTAAAACTATCGAATTCAAAGGTGAAAGTTTCGAACCCCTTGCTTTGGTCCCTTTTATACTCAATCTTCTGAAGATGTTGGACGGTTCTTAAGAACTTGTTAAAGACATTCGGCTTTCTTTTAGTTTCTTCTTCACGATGAGGGCGTGCCTTGGGAATGGGCGGTGCAGTGACCGTTCCTTTAAATGGATTCCCAGCAGGAGATGATCCATGATCGCCTTCCTCTTCATCTTCATCATACTGACAAAAAATTAGGATTTCAAAAACGTTAATAAAACAATAACTACTTATCAATCACATAATCCAAAGTTAAGTAGAGGTTGAATTATGATTCTATTATTCAAATTAGCTACTAGACTGTATGTATAAATTTATTCTTCTTAAGTTCAAGCCGCATGTGTCCTGACATTTTTTAAAACACATTAATATAATGCCATTGAGTGAAATTTCTCTCTCTTTTTTTTTTTTTATAATCCATTTAGCTATCATAAAAAGTTAACGGTTATTATTATTTTCCTTTTTGTCACCCAATTAGTGAATGCTTTAATTTAATGCCAACAATAATAGTGGACTCCAAATGATCGTAAAATACTTATTTTATAAGCATTTAAAAAATAAACACTAATTAGATAAAGACTTATCATTTTCTGATAGCAGTATATTAATGCGGTTAAATTCTCGTAAAACTCCTTTTAAAKTCACTATAATGACTACATTTATAAAGTAGCAAGACTAAAATAAAAACAGTTGTACTCAAAAAAAGATGACTAAAATAAAACAAATAAAAATATTATTGAAGTAAGTTATTAATTAATTAAGTAGAGAAGGGTAAAATGATAATTTAACTAAATTTTTACTTATTTATATATGAAAGAAAAAAACTTACCCAACCATAGCAGAAACGTCTGTGGTCTGGGATTGTCCAATATGGGTCGTAGTGGTTCAACTGTTGGAGATGACAACCAGGAATAGGATTACACTTCCCCAATAGGAAAAATGAAATGACAAAATGTGTAATTTTCTTAGAATAATTTCTTTTTAGAACCAAAAGAATTATAGTTGG